CTATTAAAGTAAAATCATGCATTTTATATATTATCACAAAGATTAATCTTTATCTATTTATTGAAGAATATTACTATTTACTTTTGTCTCTAAACATATCTTTTGCCTTTTGCTTTCAGAAGCAGAATAAACAACAAAGGTAAAAATGAAACAGATAACCAACTTGTAAAATTCATGAATGATTATATCATAGGAATGAAGTAGTATCTCAATATAGTAACTTTCTATTGAAATATTATACCCAATTTTCCATTTTGTAAATTTTGGATTTTGGATTTAATGGATTTTTTAATAATAGAAAATGAAATATCATGTTTACATAATGCAAATTGATGAGTTGGTGTACGACCCCACTGAAAATTTTTTCTGGCTATGCCAATGGGTAAGAAGTATTTTTGCTATTGGAGTACTTAATCATTACCTTTCATTTTGGTTTTTCTACAACATTATCATATTGACCTAATAAACTAGTTACTACTCTCTACCTGCTTTTTATTACTTCATGATTGTTTATAAAGTAAAATTTGCATGGCAGTTTCAAAGCTTGGAGGTTTGAAATCCTATTTTTGATGTTTATAATACTTGGCTTTTTAGGTGTTTATTTTCTTCCTTCATGTCGACTGTGGAGGCATCAAAATGCTCAGTCAGTTGGCCACACTCTTAATATGACTTTCTAAACCTGGTTGAATTTTGTGGAATTTTCTTTTGTTTGTGAAATGGTTTGACATTTTATGTAGGATGACATGCTAACAGTTTTCAATATTGAAGTCTTAAATATGTTATAATATTTGCAGTTTGCACACATGTTGTGTGCTTTCTATCATGATAAACTTATAAAATTAGGGATCTTGGTGATATGTAGTGTAGAACTTTAACTATCTTGTAAATTTCAGCGATGGCCGTTCCATTTAGAAATGAATTTCAGCCTAGGTTATAATGCTATATTGTGCTAGGAAATGGAAAAATTCTGTAGTAATATTCTTTTTTTGGATGTGTAATAGGCCTCTAGAATCTCATCTGAGGTATGGCTACGTGTCTATGCCCACTTGTTGAGTTTGTTTTGGTGGTGATCCTTCTTGAAGGAATCTAAATAGTTTCAGATCTAGAGTACTCATGCACGCAAGTAATACCACCAGATCCCTATCGTAATTATGAAGTAGTAAGCCAGGCTCCATGAATTATAGCAATTAGAAGTTCACTTCTGGTTATATCTGATAAATGCTCTGTTTCCATAGTTTGTTTGATAACAGATTAAGACAGGTTTTTTCAATTCTGATTATCCTCCAAATCAAATGAAAATGTTGGAGGCTTGTATGGAATTGAAAATCGTATGACGCATACATATTCCATCTTGGGTTTTTTGAGAGCAATTTATGAGATCAGATAGACAAAGGGGACAATGCAGATGGATCTTGTAGTTTGTTTTGATGAATGATACATCTTTTTAAGGACAAACTTTATTAGTTCGTTTCCTCTGTACCTTGTACTGTTTCACTTCATGTGTCATTCATTTCATGTAGATGAAATTGCCATGTACGTTCATCATAAAATTCCCTTTATTTGTACAGAATCATTAATGAGAGTGGCTGAGTAATCATTACTGACATAAACGCACACATTTAAGGCTATGATGGAAGTGGACATTCGTGGATTAATTATTTTGGATTACTGATGCTTTGGATCTCTTGAAACTGATATAGTGTATTAATAGGTTGTGATGCCAACAGAGATTAAAAGGCACACCAATTGTATTGCTGCATGATTGAATAACAGGACATGTTAAACTCTGTAATAGGTATCTGATCACGGAATAAATGAGCTATTTTAGATGCCTGCAAACTAAATTAGAAAAGATATTTTAGAGGTTAAACTTCTTTGAAACACCATCATAGTGTTGATTAATTCTACATGGTCTTTAGGAATCTGATCACGGAATAAATGAGGTATTTACATGCCTGCAAACTAAATTAGAAAAGATACTTTAGAGGTTTAACTTCTTTGAAACACAATCATAGTGTTTATTAATTCTATATGGTCTTTGAAACACCATAATGGTGTTGATTTATTGTATGTGGGGCAGTTGTGCAAGCTTATTGTTCTTACCAATAGGGAGCTATTCTTTTTATCATGATTTGGCTCCTCAAGTCTTGTCTATCATTCTTATTTATTTCAGGGTCTCTTCTTTAGTAAGCAAGGAACAGAACCAAGTTTTTGGGTGATTTGGGAAAACCTTGTTCATGAGTAATTAGGATGAGATATACAAAATATCAATGTGCTAATATGGAACTGAGAAATGTTAAGTATGCGAAGTAAAAATGGTGTGAATTGCAAAAAAAGAAAGAGGCTATGTAGGAATCGGATTGTGTTGGATGGACAGGATATTTCTTAGAAATAAAGCCGTCTTTTCATAGGTGTTAGAGAAAACCTCCTGATAAAGGATTTGAAGAGGCAAGAGGATGAAGAAATACCAGACCACAGGAATAGAAACTGGAATAAGGTTCCTCTCTCCTTTCTCTTTTTCTTTTTCTGTTTTTTTTTCAAGTTTTTAAATGGTTCACTTTGGAGGGATTTGGGATCATAAATCTGCAGTTTTATAAGGTAGTACAAAAGTTGTAGTAGGAGCTTAAGGCTGATAAAGACCTGACAGATACCAGAAATCGAAAAGAAAACTCTATGATGCTGTAATTCACTACTGTACTTCACTTTTCAGAAGGTGCAAGTAAAAACTAAGGGTTATGTTATACCCTAAATTCATGTCCTACATTTATTTTAAATATTCTCTCACAATATCATTTTAAGGATAATTGAATTTGCACATGGAGATTATATGAGTATCCTTATCATTGCACAATTATCAACAGTATCATGAATTGATTAGGCTCACGTGCTTTTGAATGTTTTAAATTGCTGTGTGTGTAGGTTGTGTACATGGTCCACAAGCGAAAGACTTTTAAGTTCTTATTCTACATTTTAACTGTTAATCCTACCACCAATTTGGAGTATACATTCAACATAACCCAAATTCCTTGAACTACTTGTTATCATGCAGGATTATTTCTTTTACTTGTATGAATAAAAAGTACCAAAGGCACCTGTGGCAACCATAAGGGTTCAAAATCATGAAATGTGTTGTATCTTGGTTGAGTATAACCATGAACTAGTGGGGATATTTTTGGGAAAAAATTTCTGGCAAACCCTAGGGGATTAACTCTTTCATCTATTGGGAAATAGTAATGCATAATGTTTTGTGTTTGCAGAATATATCCTTTTGGGGTTCTCAATTTTATGTTTTCCTCTATTCTTGATTAATAGCCCGGAAGAAAGTGGGGAAAACACTGAAATCATATTTAATAATACTCTAGCAGTGAAGTTGAGTACTGGAAAAGTCTAACAGGCGCTGTTGTACTTTTCTGGTCGATCAGCATTTAGACTTGTTATTGTAGAGATCGTATATTGCATTTTATTGGATGTCCTTGACTCGAAAACTTTGTATTTAAAAGTTTCTAGTTTAATATTAGCATTTCCGCCTTATTATAGGGCATGGTTACGCTTCTATTCCGACTGTTGAGCAACCTTAGACTGGCTATAGCTTTTATGAAGGCTTTTTTTTTTCTCTCAGGATATTCTGATCAAGTAGCAGCTAATAGTTTCTATTGCATTAAAGCGGAACTTATATATCATTGTATCAGTGTATGCATGCATGCTTATATCTGTGCGCGCGCGCGCGCATGCATTCTTCTAATATTCGGGGTTCTAGACATGCTGTTTTTCAAACCTGAATGTTGCTTCTCTTTCAACCCATGACAATGTCAATACTTTGTTCTGGTTTAGGTCACTCCCTGGGACATTTTGGCAGTTAAAGGTTTTATCTGGTGCCTGGTTGCACCTTTAGCAACTGGTCATATCAGATACCCCAAGATTTTGGTTAGAAAATCCCATTCTTTATTTACTGCAGATTTCTTAAGCATAGTCTTGGATCCCTCTGGATTTTGTTCACCACAGTAATTCAAACTCAAACTTATGAACGCAGACAGGCTTACATCATGGAGGCATGGAACCATTTTTGCAGAAAATCCATTCTATCATCTCAAAAGGCTTTTCATTAGGATCTTGTAGAGAAATATAGGAGGAAGAAAGGGAAAATCGTTTAGTTACCCCTCCTGTGCGATCAAAACTAAAACCATTTTCAACTAGAATACTTTCTTGCAGAATTAAGGTGACTAAGTGCTTTTTTTTGTCTAAAGAGCAGAGTTCGAATCTCTCTCTTTCAATTATATATATATATATATATATATAAAGTGACTAAAATATGCAGAATTATACTCATATTTTGGGCCCTTATAAAGATGTTATGATTGTCCTTATACAAGATCCACTAAATGATACTTACATGTCTCTCCATAATAATAACAACTACGAAGGTAGCGAAATTGTAACGCATGGTAGGGGAAAGAAAGGGGTGATAAGAAAGCTGAAATGGTTTTAGGGTTGAAATGCAGTGGTATAACGCCCAAGGCAAGAGTTAATGCAGCCTCCTGCAAACATCTCAAAACCATTAAGACATAAAACAAGGAAAGCCTAAAACAGGAAAAACCCATTTAAAGACTGTAAAATGGAAGGAAACTTGAAAAGGATAACAAAAAAATGTTCAAACCCGACGCAGGAAGAAAACAAAACCTCCATTGTCGGTTACTGGGCCCCATTTTATGCATGCCCACATATTTCCACGTGGGCTTCTTGCATGGCCACGTATGGTAGAAGAATTAGAAACGCTCCTTCTTCGCAATGAATTTATCAAGAATGTGAACTTGTTGGCAATATTTTCTTGACATGGTAAGTTCATTATGAGAAAATGAGTGGGATTTCTCGAGAAACTGGAAACCTTATTAGGGTATCCCCACTTGACAGACATGCACGTTTACTACCCTATCAGGGGCCTATATATATACCAACACCTGCACTTTCTTTGCCACCAAACACTCTTATCTGCCCCTCTCTCTCTTGTTCTTGGTATCTTCTTCTTGTGCTCAGAATCTCTTTCATTTCCTCTCTCTTTCACAATGAAAAGAGCAAAGGTTAGCCCTGTGTATGAAGGGAGAGGAAGGAAGAGAGGCATAGAAGGAGAAGAAGAGGGCGAGGACTCATCAAAGAGTGCGAGAATGAGTGCAAAGGCAAGAACAAATGGCCTTCGGGCTAGGAAAGCTCTATCCATCATTTCCAATAACCGAACGATAATAACCAGGTCTATGTCAACCAAAACAGTGGAGGAGAACGGTGAAGAAAACGTGGTTGAGGTTAAAGGAGAGAAGAAGAACATGAATGATGATAACAAAGCTTTGGAGGAGCAGCAGCCTGTCAATGAGGTGGCGGAGAAGGAGGGAGATGATGATGGGGGGTTGACCTTGGAGGACTGGCCATTGACATGGAGTTTTGAGGAGGAGTTGACGTGGTTCAAAACAGGGCATCAATGTGGATGGTACTCCTATTGGGAGACCATGAATGGTGATTTCTGGAAGCCAAAATACGACAACCAGGAGGACTTTTGGAACGCTGAGCCGTGTAACTTTGATGGCAAAAATGAAATCCCAAAGCCTTAGATGATAGCTATTATGTATCAGTCTATCATTGTTGTTGTCTGTCTGTTTGTTTTTGTGCGTGTCTTAGAAAGACGGAAGGATAGGGATCTAGAGGAAAGGAGAAAAACCTGTCTTTAGGTAGAAATGCATTACTGCAAACAGCTGCTATCTTATGTTTATCGTTTCAGTATTTACACTATGATTTTAATTATGTGCTTGAGTTTTTGAATGCTGATCAGCTCATCCTTTCATTTGGGTTACAAATTTGAACGAACATGTGAATTTATTTTTGTTTGACGAACACTACATATTCAAGCTGAGAATTAGCTCACAATTTGATTAGGTCACTTGAAATTCAAATTTTTCTAACAGGTTCTACTTGGACTAACTGCTATCCACTCTATAACTCTCTAATTTCTCTCTTTCTCAGGTTCAATCAATTAAAATAAGAAGCATACATGTGTACGTGGTTCTGATCCCTCAATGTTTTTGCAAATACTTGGCTTCCCTTGCTATTGAAATCTGCTTTCTTGAAGTTATTATATATGTATAGTTCTCTTGAAGTTATTATGCAAAGTCATACTCCAGCGTACTAATCATAGCACGTGCTCTCCAAACCCTTTCCTTAACCTGAACCAACATTATCAGAGAGATTAAGAATGCTTTATCTATGTCTAGCCCTAGGATGCAGCAACTCTTTCTAACAGGAGGATCACAAAAAACAAATGAGGACAGAACTGAAATAAATATATGGAAGAACTACGAAAAAATTGTTATTGGTGCCAGACATGTAATCGCACTTGTATGTTTTTTTGAAGTTCCTCAATTTGAAGATTGCATTCATTGGTGTTGTACATAGTTTGTAAATGTCAACAAGTTCAGTGAACTGTTTTGGCAATTAACTTTCAATAACCTAGCATTGCCTAGATTACTGGAAGAAAAGCATTAGATCTTAGAAGATATATTGACCTTAACGGTCACGATATATGATAAGATAATTTCCAATATTCCGTAGGGTTATAGGAGGTTTTAGAGTCGAGAAATTGGACGTATAAAGCGCTCAAGGCAATCTAATCTTATTTATGGAAGGTATATATAGTCTCAAGTCGAGATTGTGTTGCCGTTCGGATGCGAAACTTTTATTAGGGCCTTCATATTTAACTACTTCCAGTAGGTGTGAGTTCAATCAATATAAGTAGTATTTTCCTGTCATATACTCTTCATGTATATGTTTAGTCAAGGAAGTTAAAGTTTCTTCGTCGGCATACTGGCTAGTATTTAAGCTTCTTTACTAGAAAAACTAATCCACACGTGTGTTGGAATTTGTTCAAATGTCTTGCATACTTTTCTTGTTGCAATCGATGACTGCATACTTTAAAGGTTAGCTTAACTACTTCGTATGCCAGATCGTTTAACATTTGAACCTGCTGAGCTAGCTGGTGCTAAAGCTAGAGTTTTTGAGCTTCAAAAATAGATTGACATGATTTTGTTGAACTAGCTTTTTTCAAGCAAAGTCCAAGCTATGCTATTAGCTCGCTTTGTTTGATGAGTTTGGATTAGGTTCAATTAATTTAGCTAAGCATCACTAGCGGCAGGCAAGATAACTGCTGCCAATTTGTAAAAACAGTCGGGAAATGTCTTGCTGGCACCTAATCACATGGTGGACAATCACCACATATGTGAAACTGCTAAGAAATAGGTTTTAACCAAAATCTTCTATATTCATGTAATTTATTAGCAGTCTGGATATAGATGCATGTGTTGGTTCTCCTGGCAGTTCACCAAGCGAAAGCAGATGACAGAGATATTTAAGAAGTAATCACAGAACCTCATGCCTTAATTTGTTGCCTGTTGCTGTCAGCTATTATGAAAGTTCTATGTCACCAGGGACACCTGTAGTATACTATAATGAGTCTCACATGAAGCACCCATGTGAAACAATAGAGGTCTTGTGACTTCCAGGATAGTCACTTTGCATTATAAGTAGAAAAATTTAGTCCATGATTCTTAAACAAGCTTATGATTTTCAGAAACTGATTTCCGTAATATCTCAAGAACGTAAATACATTACATTAGTAATTGATTTTTAGTTACTTTCTAGCTTTTGTAAAGAAAGTATATAACCTTATGTTTTGGAGCTAAGCAAGCGGGGACTTGTCATGTTAGCAAAGGATAGCAACTGGGCACTGCTTTTAAGCCGACAAGAAGGTTAGAGCCAGAGTTTCTGGTAAGTAGCCTATGGCTTTGTCACTTCCATATGATCTAGATTTCTTCCTAGGTTCTGAATTCGTCAAGAATTAACGTGAAATTTATAGGTTTAGTCCAAAATTGTATAAAAGGAGCCAGGCTGTAAGCTTGGATTGGTGATTCAGGTCTTGCCGGCTACACAAGGTGTAATTCTCTTAACCTTGTTTGGTCCTTGCAGATCAGCCAGGAACTCCATATAACGAGAAGGTAAAGCAAATGTAGAATGTGAAAGATGTGAAAAAAAATGTTATATTTAATGCTAAAGACTAAAGTATGTATATGGAAAGTAAATGTTTAGCTTTGGGGAGGCCAAAGACTAAAGTAAATGTTTATTCAATGCTAATTAATAATGAAGTATCCTTCTATAGAGAAATGATATATGATTTCTACATAATAATAAAATATGTATATGAAAAAAAATATAGTTAGTACATTAATCAATAAGACATTAATGTTTAGAAAGATTGATTGATTCTGGGTTTTAATATTAAGACAAGTTCAGCTAAGAATCCTGATAATTTTGAAGTAACATTATATTCAAATTTATGTAACAGGCACCATTATTTCAAATAATTAAAAGAGAAAAGTATTTACAAAATTAGACTTGAACAAGCGAAAAAAAATCTGAGTAAGATTAGTGATTATTCAATTGAGAATTACCGATTTAGTTAGGATCTTCATCGATTTTGTACCCTATAGAAGTAGCTAGAATCGAACAATTATTATTTTTGGTTTGGTTTAATCGTTGATAATTGTTGTTCAAGTGAAATAGCTAGGTTTAGCCATAGTACCTAATTGTAAAGTTAACTCAAAGAAGGCAAATTAATTTGTCATGCGGTTGAGTCAAAACAAAGAGAAAACAATGGCTATAATATATTTAATATATAGCCGTCATTAGTGGATTTACATATATCAAATGGTAAAATTATGTCATTTTAATGTTTCTACTTAACAAAAAAATCATAAAAATATAAAATAAATTTGTCTTGAAGTTTAAGGTGCCTAGCCAAAGTTAAAAGAGAAATTTCTAGGAGCTTTGGGGGGAGGGGGAGGGGCATGGCCTCCTCATACCCTCCCCTTGGCTCCATCCTTGGGTGATACAAAGCATACCACAAGCCACTTGTGCCAATTATACAAGAAAGTGACTAAACAGGGTGGGAAACTTTTTGAGTTGGGGAAGGATGGGTGACACGAGAGGAAATGAGATACCAGTCATTTTCTTACAATTTTGATTTATTTTTCTGAGTTTTCATTGGATGAATATAGTGCTGGCTAATTTGTCTCCCAAGAACCTAAAAGGCACTGTTCCTTTTTTTTATCCTTTAATTTTAATCCCTTAGTTACTCTGCAAAAAATGGTAACTTGAACTTAAACCAATCACACTCATTTGGCCATTGAAAGCCGTGTTTCTGCATTTTGATTGGCTTCTGCTGCAGCTTGCAGTAGTTTTCATTGTAAACCTTCAGTTGCCATCAAGGTTTTGGTCTTGGAGGGGTGTCAGCATCTGATTGGTGATATTTTGAAAGCGAATGATTAAAAAATTTACAAGTATAGTAATTACAATAGCAGTGAAGAAAGAGACAATTCTTATCCGCATTTCTATCTATCTTTTGGCACGTCCACAGGTGTAGCTCTCTTACTAAATTCAAAGATGAAAAGGAAAATGTAGTCCACTAAACTTGTAGGGAAAGTATAGTCCACTAGTTAAACTCAGGCGTGTAAAATTGCAAACCAAACCAGCCTCTCTGGTGTAGGGCTCCTGACGTAGTTCCTCCACCTAACCTCTGCACTTTGAAACAGGTTGAGCTTAAGCTATCAGAACTATAATTTTGAAGAAATAATTCAAGATTAATAAGGATCATTAAGCTACGAAATGAAGTTCTGTTTGAAACCTGTGAAGCCGGGTATGGATATGTGAATGGCCCAGAATTTTTCATGCTAAAGAATTGGATTGAATATAGTGTAATGTCTGTTTTCTGGTCCCTTTTAAGGAATCATCCCCTGGTTTTCAAGCTGAAACTCAAAGTAGACATTTTCAAAGAATTGAAACTTCAGCTGCAGAATATCTTTCTACGCGAATTTAGCTGTTTTCGAAGTACAGATGGATGGAAACAGAAACAAGCTACTTGAAAGAACCTGTTCGGGCAAAAGTTCTATCGTCATTCTAGTACAATTTAACAGATTGGTTTCTTTGCTATCTCCCCAGTAAAGAAGGATAATGCTGAAGGAACAGGATTGTCCACAAGAATTTTATCCTTTTTCTGAAAAAGATGACCTGGCAGATCACTCTTCTTCTGATATAACATTAATTTTCAGAGTTCCCTCCTTATGCATCTTACTACAATTTATCATTTACACTGAAATTACTCACGAATTTCAAAGGAAGAGAGGAGAAAACTGTGAAATGGAGGAGGAAGGGTTAATGAAATTTGGCAAGAAACTACCTTTTTATTCATTAGTTCTCAGCCGTTTCATTGGAAATCTAAAAACATAGGATAATACCTCAAAAAAGAAGAGCAAAAGGCAAAGAAAATTAATGCTTTGGTACAATTTAAACAAGCCGAGTCCCTACAAGGGAACAAGTCTAATTAATTTTAGAAGCCTGGGGGCTTGTAGGCAATGAAACTGATGCACTGCACTTGACGCTTGTTGTCGAATCCGATGATTCTGATGAATGACTGGGGGTAAGCCTTCTTGCACTCCTCAACCTCCTTCAACACCTGGGATGCGTCTGTGCATCCGAACATGGGAAGTTTCCACATGGTCCAGTAGCGCCCATCATAGTACCCTGGTAAGCTGCGGTACTTACGGAACACGAATCCGTTCTATACATGGCAAAAACAAAAACACACAATTTATCAGCACAAATTGTACGAGAGAGGTGCAGCAGAATAATTTTGATGAACAGATTACAGAGCTTGAAATGACCTCCAATTCGAATTCCAAGCAAGGAATCCAGTTACTGCGAAGAAGGTATTCTACTTCCTTAGCCAACTCCTCTGCAGTGAGATCAGGGAGGTATGAGAGAGTCTCAAACTTCTTCTTCCCCTCTGGAGGCCACACCTACAGTCCCAAACATGGGATTCAGTTGCATCAAGCATTACACTAAAAAATAATAGCTTTGCAAATTAGGCTTATGCACTGTGTTCAATTTACTTGCTAATTGCTCTGCATAACCATATAGTTTCACCAAGTACCTGCATGCATTGCACTCTGCCACCATTGCTTGCGAGAGAAGTAATGTCTTTGTTGGCCTTGCGGGCGACTGGGAGAGCAGAGTTAGACTTGAGGCCGGTGAATGGGGCGACCATGCTGGCCTGTGCGGGGGAGGCACGGTTAACGGTGGCGACAGTTGCCGATGAGATCATTGAGGAAGCCATTGCTGATACTACTTAGTATTGTATATGCTAGAGTCACGAAATTCTCACTCCGTAATAGTGTTTTGCTCCAGTGCAATATCCTATATATAATGATAAAATTTGGCCTTCTCACATCCCATGGGGACAAAATGTTGGGCTTCATTTGGGAGAAACGGTGGCCGTCGGATCGAAAATCTGGTGACATTACAACATGATGACCACTAGAGGGTGGAAAAATTTTGAATGGTAGCCTTATCTTTGGCACCACAATGACCGTGCCACGTGGAAGAAGCTCCATGATCTTATCTCATCCAATGGAGGGCATGAATGTGTGATGGGCATTGCCTTATTTCCTTCTGTCAGTCTTTACTCTCTTCCTTGCAATTTTTGCATAAAAATCAGTACGGTCCCATTTGGCCATTGGCAAATCTATGACCATACCTTCTTTGCTCATGCCCTTGACTTGTACTGTGTGCCTTATCTTCTTTACATATATCTGGGGTTAACAGTTGGAAATTGTTATTTAGATATTTTCTCTTTCCAACAGGCTATGCCCTTTCTTTGGTTCATCTTTTATCTCATCAAACTTTTCTTTCAAATCATTTTTTTTATAATTAAAGAATAGTATTCGAATTCTATTTTTTAGATAAACGGATAACATATCAATTAATAAATCAAATGTTTGGATGTTTCTTATTAATTATTTGATCTTATAATCTTTATATTAGATGTTTCAAGATCAAATATATTGAATTGCTTCTTGGTTGATATAAACTTGGTAATGAAATGTTAACAGTCCATTACAGGGATTGATTGTTACAAGGAGAACACACAGGAGCACTAGTTGTTTCTGTTTCTTTCTTTCTTTGCTTGAAGAAACCATGGCAAGGAGTAGCCAGTAAGGGCTGAGCTGATGCCATTGGCTAAAGGCAATTATAGGTAAAGGAGGGTGCAATCATGGTTTATATGTAGACAATAAGGGAATCAATTAAAGTGGCTAAGAATATCCAGGGGGTACAACAAGGATTGCCTGCCAATCACTCTTTGTTCCAAAGCTATAGGAATTGGAAACACTCAGCCATTTCTTTTTATTTGCTTCTGTTTGAAAAGCACTATTAAGTCTTTGATTGATTAAAATTTTAAATTTTATTTAATTAATATTCTTATTTATGTACAATATTGAGCAGCTGTATGATTTTAAATTTTTTATTTTACATAATCCTAATCACATTCTACTTTAGACTTTTATATTATAAAAATAGATCTCTAGGCTTTAAAATTACAAATATGCTTTGAGAGCTCTAGAGAAGGAACATATTGTAACTCTGTCTTTTGTTTTTGGTGAAACTAGAGTGGTTTGAGTGAGTGTTATTAGGAGGTTATTGAGAAAGAGTGTGCAAGAGATCTTGAGTTGGTTTGAGGAACCATAAAAGTCAATTTATTATACTTTAATTTCTCAATAATAAAAAAATAGTTTCACTCCGTGGTCATAGATAAGAAACCGAATCATTTAAATTCTTGTGTTTTTTTGTTGTTTGATTTTTTTGAGTTTTATTTTAGTTGTTTTTCAGACAATTTTCATAACAAGAACAAATATGTTCGGGCACATAATTCTTCTCAAAGACTTTATTAAAGGAGATAGTCAATCATTTGGCAGTCAGTGTTGGATTCAATTTCTTTTTTAATTTTATTTTAAATGCATGATGTGAGATTTATGAGAATAAAGAAATTAATTTACTTCTAAAGTTTTCTAAAATCATTACATGCAGAATGTTAAGCCATTAAATTTCATGGAGTCTAAATCGCCATGAAGAATAAATGGCTTTTACTATTATTATGTGTGAGCATTCCTCCATGGCCAATTGCTCGATGGCCTTTACTATTAAGGCCAATTGTTTGACACATAACAATCTCCTCTACAGGGGAGATCATGCCTGCTGAATTAGTCATACTTTGATTAATTACACTCAAGCATCAATTTCCTCCAATAGAAACAAATGCAAGCCTTTTGCCAAAAGTTCAGTTGAAGGGACGGCCTATAGCTTCCTCTCAATTACAGCCCACTTGATCTAGTGGTTTTGACTTTCAGAGTTTGAATTAGTCCATGCATCCTGTTGCCTACGTTCCGTGCATGGATGAGCTGTGCCATTGCTATTAAACTATAGTTTGTGCTGCCTAGAGATTTTTAGTCATAGTCAAAATGTCAAAGTTTCTCATTCACCAAATAAAGAAAGAAAAAGTCAGAGTACGACTCAGGAGGTAGGATCTCTCCCTTGTACCAAACTGGCTTGGTCGTCATATTTAAGATTATATATATATTAGACCAGGTTTAGACCCAAAACTTAATTACTCGCAGGAACATTTCCAGGTCGGACTGGGAACTTCGTCGACGCTGAAGAGCCGCGTACTCTTAGCATCGTTACTGCAGTCAAGCATCAAAACAGATTGTAATTCTTATATCAGTGAAACAATTCTCTAATTTCCTTCATCGATCCCTCGCTCTCTTCACAATTCCACTGCTTCAATTAGTCCAAAACCCTTTCAATTATTTGCTTCTTGTTTGTTATAATTTTTTTCCCTCTTGCCATGGACGAAAGAATGAGTGGGGCTGCTCATTCGGGAAGCATTGATGCGCTGTATGCATCAGTTCAAGAGAATGCCCATGTTTTTTAGCTTATTGATCAGATTCCTTTTGTTGACACTCCACTACACTTAGCTGCAAAAACCGGGCACGTCGAATTTGCCATGGAGATGATGAACTTAAAGCCATCATTTGCCAGGAAGCTGAACCAAGACGGCTTGAGCCCCATTCACCTTGCCTTGGCATATGAACAAAAAGAGATGGTAGATCTTCTCCTAGCAAGTGATAAAGATCTTGCTCGTGTCAAAGGCAAGGAGGGCAACACTCCTTTGCATTACGCAACTAAACATGGAAACCTTCCTCTTTTGGCTCAATTTCTGATCGTTTGCCCTGAATGTATTGAAGATACAACAACTCGAGACGAGACTGCTCTTCACATTGCAGTGCAAGCAATAGATTCGACGCTCTTGAAGTCCTAGCAAAGACTGCACAGTGGCCTTTCAGGACCTTTCGTAACAATAGCAAAGTTTTGGGAATAGAAGTCCTAAACAAGAAGAACAACGATGGAAACACAGCATTGCACTTGGCCGCATTGAATAATCAACCCCAGGCATGCATGCTATCACCTTTTTTTTGTCCCAATTCATTATCTTTGTTTCACATTTTAAATTCATATAATTATATATTTTATAAATAAAGGTCAAAATTGAGTTTTTTTTTTTCATAGAAAAATTTAAACACAGGCAAATAAATTAATTAGAAAAGGAATTGTAATAAAAGATTATGAGAGTTCTTTTTTCATTGTATTTGATTTGTCAATATTAATGTGGGTTTCTTTTATTTCTTTTAAACAGATGATGAAACTCTTATTAGAATGTAAAGTTGATAAAAACGCCATTAATCAGAGTGGCTTAACGGCTATCTATGGATATCTTACAAGAACAAAGCCAAGTTGACATTAAAGAGTGTATAGAGATTCTATACAGTGCCAGAGGCTTAAATGCTTCCTCAATCCCTCCAGCTCCACCGTTACAAGATAAGTTAAGGTCGAAGCTGACATTTCATGAAAAATTATTTGGCGAAGCCTTCCGTGAAATTTTTGATATCTCAATTGAGCAGAGCAATGCTTTGCTCGTGATATTAGTTTTGATTCTAACAGCTACTTACCAAGCTACTCTTAGTCCACCCGGTGGATTGGGGCAGGGTGGCAGTGGTGGAAATAATGGTTCCATAGGCGCCGACGCTGCCCATCAGCTGCGGAAATCAATCATGGAAGACCCAACTTCCAATCTCGGAAAATCAAGTATGAGTTCAACCTCTTTTCTTCTTTTCTTCATTCCAAATACTATCGCTTTTCTTTTGACAACAGTCTTTAACACTTAGCCTGTTGGGTGTGTGTCTTTTCACTTGCACCACACACTCGATCGTCGAAAACCGCTCTGAGCGATACAATGCAACTAAGTGCGGAAACTAGTCACACTGAATAAATGTTGTTCGGGAAATACAATGCGAAATAGTGAACACAAAGTGGGCCCGCACAAATCCCGAAATATCGCTCTGACAGGAATGCGCCGCCACCACCCGTCTGTGCTCCAGATGCGTGCTCGATGCTCCTGTGATCGCGTACGTGCAATCCGCGATCACTTCCGACTTCCTGACGGCCCAAATGCGCCTCGGAAGTCCGCTATCCCGTATCTCCAAAACCGTGCGTCGGATGACGAAACCGACATCGCCGTTGGAACCGCAGCGCGTCAAAACCCCCGGATAGCATCCCCGTCGAAATCCGGGTCGGTCGCCGGAGGTTGTCGGAATCTGGTCACCGGTCGTCTTCTCCGGAACTGGTTTTCGCGTCAAACTCACCAAACCAACGCGACCAGAACTGATGCGTTAGCCTCCTCCTTGCGGTGCTCTCCGCGCCAACCGTCGCTTGAAATACCTCTCGGATCGGTGAAACCGAGCTCTCCAAGTTTTGGTCGCCGGAATCCGCCGTCCGGCAACACCACTGCCCAAGACCGGGCTCTCCAAGCTCGCCTCAACACGCCGTGCAAGGATCCGCAGGCTGTGAGAATCACCTCCCTCACCGGAGAGAGATCCGAGCCCTCCAAAGGTAGCCCTCTCCTCTCTCTCTTTTTTGTTTCGATTTGCACCCGAGAGCTCCACACCAAGCGAACGCACCGACCTCTCCCAAAGTCAAAATGGTGGGGTTACGGTGCGTCATAAAATAACATAGCCTTCTCTCAATTATTGCTAGTGCTATCACCACTCTCCTTCAAATACCCTTGTTTTTATTATATTTTTGCCTTCTAACTTCAACATATTACATATCCCCAACCCCTCTACGTACTTTCATTTTTTTCTCCTTTAACATTTTTCTCTTGGTGCTATGTGTCATAGTGCCTACTAGAATGGAAAGGGTCAGATGTGAGGCCAAATAAATGTTTTTTTTTTAATTTGAAAAAAGAGATTGTTCGAGTAAGAAGATGATACGTCGAACAATGAATTAAATGTTGATCTTTTAAATAGTTGAAAGAAAATTAAAAATTTATAAATTGATAGATATATAGTGAAAATTAATTTACTTGGGAACTTTTATTGACTTAGCTTTCTGCAAAGAATGTTAAAGATGCATTAGCTAATTTTTATTTTTGTATTTGTTATTTCTATACTAACGAAGAAATGGTTTGGCTTCAATTCCCTTTCTCTATTTCTAATAACTTCTTTCTTTTTCTTGCATTCTCTGGTTGATTTTGCTTCTATTGCATTAATTTATTAATTATTACCCTAAAAAAAATTCAAATGTGTGGTTGATTTTCCTCCTAAGAAAATAATTTTTCTTTCAATTCATTTCCTTGGATCCTTTTTGTCTCCTACCAAACATAGTGTAAACGTCCTTTATGTAGAGACAAGCCTCTACAATGCTAGCTAGACAAACTCGTAATTTTATGTAGAAAGGGGGAAAAAAAGGCAAGAACTCTTCACATTATTTATTTGGGTAAAAACAACATGATATGCAATGATCAATTAATTGCACTATGTTGTGATGCCTTGTTTATTTATTTCAAGCAATTCATGAATGTTATTATGGCGTCCACGAAAATAGAAAGAAACAACAAGTGCACTGTAGGTACAGAAAATCCAAAATATCCTCCAATAATTATGTTGGCTTCTACATAGTTAAATACATATAAATGCAAAAGTGAAAGTAAATTACAAGGAATAAATGCTGATTTTGTAATTTTTCTTTTAGCCTAGCTTTAGAAATTCCCCAATAAAGAATGTAAAAGAGACACGTTTTTTAGATGCTCTGTTTTTCTTAATCTATCTTGGCCAATCAAAGATGAATTCCACCAGATATTAGTATTTAAATAAAGAAAAATAAGGGTTTTTACAAGTGCTCTGAAAGTACCTTTTTCCTTTTAGAAAATTAAAATTCATTCATAAAAGAGAGGGTATCCATGTACTTTCAAAGGAGAGCTCAAGACTGGAGAGAAAACAGTATTAACCCTCTGTTCACATACTGGAAAACAAAAGCACCAGTCAGCAACCCTGCCCTTCAACACAAAAATTTCACCTTTTCATTTACAGTTAACCCCTCTATGCCTACACACTTGTTTCGCATCACTGACTTTAAAACGTTAAAATTAGTAAGACTAGGAAACACAACCAGCATGCCTGTTTCCTTCTCTTGCTAACTCTTGCTTACGTTTCGGAACACCTGAATTCGGTACCGGACAAGAGGATCCCATAAACCACTTGCCAACCACCCCGTCCAAAGAGATCCCAAGGGCCAACCCACCAGCGGCTAGGAGACTTCCACAACCCCATAAACACCCCACGCAACACACAATCACGGTTCTGCATAACCACAGGAAAGGCAACCATAACCCAGGGGAAAAAACAAACGCAGAGAAACCAAAACATGACTATTAAGGCAAAACTTGCAGCAGGTCATTGACTCTTTCCACCCCATTTTGGCAAGGTTATCCCCCAAATCACTCCCAAATCTTGGGGTATGGATAATCTGCCATCTAAGAGATCTTTCCCAGCAGAGCCTTGATTTTTAGCACCAGATTTCTAAGGCGCCAAGGAGAGGAGAGTGGTTTTGAGACCCAAGTATCAACATTTATAGAATCGGTCTCAATGATTAAACCATAGGACTGACACCAATCAGCCACCACAAAGAGAACAAGAGCCTCACGAATGGCTAACATTTCCGCATGATTAGCATCTCCCCAACCCCCTGCTTTCGAAAATATATCTTCACTATGCCTTTGTTATCCCGAAGCACTCCTCAAATGCCAAGAGGACTCGGGCAGCCCCAGTGTTAAATTTTAACCAACCATTTGGTGGTTCCTTCCATTGCAACTTTGATCTTAACCTTTCCATTTTGGTTGGAATAACAGCAAGGTAAGGGAATCTCACAATATCAAGAATATCCAAATTATTCTTTACTCACCATGCAACTCTGATTTTGATGATATCCAACACCTAACAGGCATCCCAAGTTATGCCGTGAAAGACATTTCGTTCCTACAAAACCAAATAGATTATCCTCCACACTTTCTCCTAGGGGTGTCAACATGACAGTAATTCCAAATTAAAAAGAAAGCAGAGGCTCTTAAAGTATTTTTTTACATAGTTAATATACTATCTATGATCATATTTTTGTATCTTGTATCAAATAATATACCTAATAATTAATATTGTGAATTCTAATGCATTGGATAAATAAAATTATTTAATAAAATAATCTTTCAAAAATACTTTAAAGTACTCTTTAACAAAACTCAATAAATAAATAGTATATAAAAATTTAAAATTAATGATAAAAGTTGCATTAAAATTCGAACTGTATTCTTTTCATTCGTAATATATATACATATATATATTTTTTTTCTTTTTGGAACACATGAACGCATATTTAATACCATCTTGGTCCGAAAGGAGAAGTTTAGGAGATGGCACATCAGCCCAAATGCAAAATTCAAAGCGAACCAATACCCAGAACTTTATGCTTCATGTCTGCCTTGGTAGGGCTAAAAGACCCTGTATGAGAATCTGAGAATGTCCAGCTTTCAAGATTGTTGCCAATAAAACTGACGAAGACAATCACCCCTTAGTAGTTTGTTTGTCAGTTTATGAAAACGCTGCTGCAGCAGATTTTTAGCTGTAAGTACGTCGAGGTGCGGTGCTGTGCAGCCTTTCTCTTGCTTTTTAATTGATTGCAGTAATTAGCCTAAGCCCCTACACTAACCTATCAATTTATCATTATTCTAAGCCTTCTCATCTCATTATGTTCACCGGATAGAAGGGAGCTGTGAATCATTCTGGATTTCATTAATGCTCTCTTAATTACTCTTTTAATTGCTATACGAAGTAGCCTAATTCTTTTTCTATTTTCAGCAAGTCATTGTCAGTTGGCTCCCTTGATATGGATGAAACTCCCTTGATATGTCAGTTGTCACATGCGTAATTTCAATTCCTCTTACATAAAATCTTCTCTATATTTTCTTTTGCTTATAATTTGTGCTCATGTCTTATTATGAAACTAATACTCCTTCTGAGCAATGAAAGAACGCACATTTTGCTTGATAAGAAAAAAGTTTGGTAGCAACGACAGGTGGAGTTGTCATTTATCAATCGAACATGCATTTCTTCTATATTGCTGTGTGCTTAGTGTTAAAACGTATGTGAAGTGACACCCGCAGCAGTCTTCTGGTAGTTGCTGTGCTAATTATAACAGCCAGTTTCCAAGCTTCATTGAGCCCGCCTGGAAGTGTTTGGCAGGCAAATAGCAGTAGTTCATCTACCTTAGCAAAGAGCAACAGAAGAAGGAGATTGGTCAGATAAGGGTGTATATGTTCAGCTTGATCACCATTTTCAAGGACATAATTTTGGAAGAAAGAGTTTGTAGCAAGTGAAGAACCTGTTAGGATCAGGAATTGCAGGGAATGTGGAGACGAGTCCATAAAAGCTAAGGTCTCCTTTCAATCTCTTTTCACAGAAAAACTGTGATTTGGAGTAGAATGTTTAAGAATACTGAGTAAATTTCTATGACAATTCAGATGCTATATTTGATGAAATGTAGAGAAAAAGCGAGACTGAAGTTGGCCATCCAATCCAAGGGGCACAAATCAAGGACCCTTTGGGGTTCGGGGAAGCAACTATGGACCTAAGCTCTTCAACTCAGCCCATAAGGTTTGATGTGCCACCACTCTCACTCCACACAAAAAGCCTCTTCCCTGAAACATTTTCATTTATATATAAACAAATATAACTGGCTATTGGATTTGATAGGCACAACACGTTTTCCTTTATACTTAAAAGGAAATACAATTACGGCCAAGTTTCTTATTCTAGAATCTATATATGTTGCCAGAATTGACTTTGATCCAAACTTATAGCTAAAACAATGGTCTATCTGCCAGTTTGAAACCCAGATAAACTCGGAAACATCTACAACCACCCATATACATTGTAACCTTTGAAACAGTTG